AAAAAACGACATGACTTCCAAAATCTTGAAAGAAACGACATAGTAAACTATGACTTCCGAAATCATGAAAAAACGACATAGTAAACTATGACTTCCAAAATCCTGAAAAAACGACATAGTAAACTATGACTTCCAAAATCCTGAAAAAAACGACATGACTTCCAAAATCCTGAAAAAAACGACATAGTAAACTATGACTTCCAAAATCAAGAAAAAAATGATATAGTAAACTAAGACTTACAAAATCACGAAAAAACGAAAAAATGACATAGTATGCTTCAGATATCACTAAAAAACGGTTTAGGGAAGTTTTGCTTCCAAAATTCCGACAAAATTACATTGTCAAGTTTTGCTTCAAAATCACAAAAAAACGACACAGTAAACTATGACTTCCAAAATCACGAAAAAAGTGAGAGTGTGTGTGTGTGTGTGTGTGTTACCGTGCATGGCGTGCTTCTGTCCAGACAGCAGTTTGACCAGAGCCCAGAAGGCGTCTTCTTCGTTCATGTAGATCAGCAGCAGAGCTGTAATCTGACTCATGCCCTGGCAGTAACCCACCTCCTGCAGACACACAGTGAGACACACACTAATCACTCAGAGGAGGAACAACTGCCTCTTAATGCTTAAATATTTTAAACATGCATATAACTTGTAAAGTTTTCAATTCTCCTGAATGTATGTATGTTTACAACCTGTTGTTTTTCTTGCGTGATGAATTGTGATTCAGCTGAACGTTGTCAATAAAAACATGTAGTAATGTGCACGATTAGATTCTGATCATTTGTCTTATTTCCAACAAACTGCTTCTTGTTATTTAAACTGACAAAACGGATGATAACCTCACAGTCGACCACTACCAAACATTTCCTCCTCTGCTCATTTTAACGCAGACGACAGGCAGATCTTCTTCGTTGTTAATTATTCTGTCACTTGTGATAATGAATCTTAAAGCAAAAAAAGCTCTGTCTCACTGTTTGCAAAACCGAGGACTCAGAGACATATGCTCAGATCCAGAACGATGGCGGAGACATAGTGACCTTTTGAGAGTGTGAATGACTCACCGTGTTGTATATGGAGTAGGCAGTGAGGACATGGAAGAGAGCCTGCTGCCTGAGAACAGCAAACACAAAACACAATCAACACAAAAGCCTGCAAACAATCCACAGTTTACAGCCAAGATCGTCAATCCTGGTCTCCTGCTTCAAACCCACATGTGGTTCCGTCGCTGCACGTCAGACTCTCATGTAAACATTTAAGTGTGAGACTGAGTTGTTGCTGGAATTTCTTTAATTATCCCAGCGTGTGGAAAAACAACATTATTACAGTGGTGTTAAAACCAGTGTGAGCTTTAACACTCGGCTTCTCTCTGGCTTGATTTTACAAGTTTAGACACTAAATATAAAGTCCCTCACTTCATTCAGGGCTTCAGATTTTGGGAATCAGTCAGGACAGTTACTAGGTAGTGTTGACACCTTCTTTTGATATTTTCTAAACTGAAAAAACATCTAACTCGAGTCTGAAAATACATTTGAAAATCTTATGTGCAATTTCTTGCTGCCTTCATTTCTGTTGTGCTGCCCCTCAGCTCTATAATTTCCTAAGATTATGTGTCAGTCAAACAGTGGGAGGTCATTTTCTCCTGAGTGACGTGGGCGTCTTTTCTCCTGGTGCATGTTTTCTCTTAGAATAAAAAGAACAAGATTTGAATCCTGGTGTCATTGTGAAGAATTCTGCATGGCAACATCTTGTCAAATTGGTTTTGTCTCACAAACTTAATCAATTTGATTCTGCAGACCACAAAGTCACCATCATTATGAGATCAGTGCTGCATGTATGGCGGAGGAACATACTTGACATCGTAGCGGTTCATGAACATGATGTGGTCCCTGTACGTCCGGTTCACATCCAGGTCAATTTGTCGGATGTCAGTTGAGAGTCCTCTGGCTCTGGCTTTTAATTTCTATGGAGGACCAAGAGAAAAGTCAAAAGGCTGTTATAGTATCGTAAGGTGTCGAAAACCCACAACAACAGTTGTTGTAGAATATTAAAAATATAATAGAAACGTCACAGTCGTACTATGGTGTCCAAAATTACTTTGTTTCCTGTCTTGAACTCATAATTGCAATACTTCCACAGAAAAGTGACGTCATTGATCTTGTTGCTCAACTTTCTAACGAGATCCAAAGTTTGTTTCACTGCAGAACGACAACAAAAGCTGCTCACAAAAACACAATTAAGTTTCCAAAGCCACATCTCCCCGACAATAAAACAGAAGCTCAGTGAAATCAAATGAAGACAAGGTGCTGGCTGGCTGGAGTCTTAATGAGGCCGGTGCTGTGCTGGAGACATTTTACAAACTGCTGGAGAACGATGCTGGGTACATACTTCGTAATAGTCTTTCTTCTCCTCCTTGATTTTGGGGATATCGAGCAGCAGGCACCACACCTCCCCTCGGAGCTGCAGGGGAATTCCCTTATAGACTCTCCTGACCAGCTGGAAGGAAGCAAACAGCAGGAGGCCATTGTTAGAAAGACGATCAAACAGGAAGACAACTCACAAACAACCTTTAGATCAAGGGATTTTATCCAGGGTTTGGTCCGATGCATCAGGCTTTTAATTAAATTTCATAAAGGTGGAAAACCCAGATGCACTCCACACCTCTGGTTGTTGCCAAAATGTTTTCAGAATCTAGAGCGACCCATCACCTGAGCTGCTCCCCCACTGTCACAGACACATAGAGCGTATGCGTGAATGTACTCTGCACAAGCAAAGGGCTTTGGAAGGTGAACTATGACCATCTGGCTGGAGATAGAGAGAGAGAAAGTGAAAGAGAGAGAGAGAGAGAGAGAGAGTGCTACGCATGCAGAACAGTCCTGAGTAAATCAGCGTCCACAAAGAGATGGAAACTCAGTCGGACTGTGGGTGAGGAAGATTAAGTCTTAAAGCCTAAACTGCAGGAGCAGCAAAGCTGATCGCAGCAGTGAATCCTCCGTCTGCAGCTGTTACAACCCGACCAGCCGGAACAGTCACACAGCAGATATGGGAGGTATCTGTAAATGTGTGTGTGTGTGTGTGGTTCTTCTTTTTATATATTTTGCTGGTGAGGGTGATAACTTGAATAAACACAAACCCATGCAGACTCATGTCAGGACTGGCTTTAAGTCTTATAATAAGATAATCATAAGGGTTAGACGTGTAGTTTTGATGGTTAAGGTTTAGGAAAGGTGTCCCCCTTTAGTGAAATTACAGTGTTAATAAACTTCCTAAGTCTAAAATGAGCTCCTCATGGGTTTGCCAGAGATAACTTTTTACTTTCTGGTCTAAGAAAAACACTTCAGCTCTAAAAGTACAGTCGCTCGGACTCTGAGACATTAAGAGACTAACTAAGAGCAAAGACTCACAGATATCAGTCCATTAAATATGCTTCAAATCTACGAATTATTCTCTGAGAACCAATGAAAATGTAGAACAAAGAGAAAATAAGTTCCTGACTCTGTCCCCTGATCTGGATCCACACTAACGTTTAAAGAATTCTAAACACGACCTCCTCTGTGAGGGTAATAAACCAACAAAGCCGAATTCATGGGCTTGATGGACGTCCTGGTGAAATTGGTGCGACATGCACGATTGAACAGAAGCGGTCGGATCATTTATAAGTGGATCCACAGGATGTTAATCAGCAATTATTCTGATAATCAGATAGAAACTTTTAAGCCAAAAACTTCTGGTTCAGGCTTCTCAAGAGTGAAGGACGAAAACAAGACGTCTGATGATGTCACGGTGGGCGGAGGAGATGAATTCTAGATAAAAACGATCAATTAATTGAAGCAATAACAAGCAGATGAATCAATAATATTAAATGAAACATTTCCACATCTCAAAACCAGAACTGTTACACTCATCAGACGTTTTGTTGCGTTAAAATAATCATGTGAAAAACTGAACGAGCAGAGAAACATGTTTTCAGCAACGCGAGCTAATTAGTTGATGAAGACTCATAAATCAGCTCGTCTGTAAACTGAGTGTGTGTTGTGATGCTGTGTGTGTCATCTCCAGATTAATGACAATTATTGTGTGTGTGTGTGTGTGTGTGTGTGTTATCCACAGACTTCATCAGCCTCCTCCCTCCACACTTGGGACTCACTAGTTCCTCGTGCAACAGCCTTGTAATTAGGCTCTGATGAGGGAGTCAATGAGAGCATCTGTTGGGCTAATCATCCTCTGAGTGTGTGTGTGTGTTTGAATCTGTGCAGTTTTTGTCTTACGTTGTATTTAATGTTTTCACACGAGCTTCATTAATTTTCTGATTTTAACTAAAATACTAGAGTTACATCGCTGCAGGTTTATTCCTCCACCCAACGGTCAAGTGGTTTTTTCGTGGTCTGTGTCCTGATATTTCAAGAATAATATATATACCACACTAAATAATCCAGTAAGTCAGGTTCAAATTCAAAACTAAATTTCTAAATTAAGCTTAAGAAAAAGTAAACGTGTGCAGCGTGTTTGACAGTTCAAGGGTTCGGGGATGAACCCAGACAAGTTGTATCTTCAACGACTACAAATATTAAAAGGTGAGGCGTCTACAACTGCTCCGACATCCTGTCACAACACTGCGAGGTTGAACATTGATGTTCCTGTTACAACCTTCAGCCAGATTCGTCATGTGAGTCTCGCTCTTTACATCTGCTCGGCTCTCGAGTATTTTCCTACTGCGGGCTAAATGTTCTCAGCAGCTGGCAAGAGAGGAAAACAGAACAACAGACACATCAAGCGTGACCTGTTTCCTCGCCGAGCTGAAAGAACGCCGCCGACTGGCAAAGATGAAAAGAAAAAGAGAATCCCTGAAGGAAGACGGAGAGAGGGAGGAAGAGGAGGAGAGGAGATGTGATGGAGAGAGAAGCTAAAATGCTCCAATGTGTCCTTGACTGTAACTCGCTGTAAACATGTCTCTGACAAACAAAGAGGAGGCGATGAGTCTGACTGTGTCATTATAGAGTGACACACACACACACACACAGAAACTCAACATACAAATGAAGGACATGGTGAATCGCTCCAGGCAACACTGATGGACGCAGCTAGTACGGATACCTGAGCTGCTCTAACCGTCCTGTTTGAAACAGAGTGAGACAGAGACAATCCTACACATCCGTTACTGATGAGGACGACCGCAGCAGAGCGATAACGAACCCAGTGAAGTACAGACACTGATCCGTGGTTCCAAATATTCAGGAGGAGAGAACGATTTATTAATTCAGAAGCCAAATGTGAAGAAATGAAAAATAGCCGTTTAATTGACAGATTGATAGACAAAATATATTTGTCTAGATTCACCGTCCTGTGGTTGATTGTCTCGTAGGACAGGGCAGTTTAAGTCTACATACGTTTTTATCCAGTCTCGCATGAGTTCAATGTGACCTTTGACCTCTGAAATCTAATCAGATCATCTTTGAGTCTAACTCATCGTTGGCACCAAATTTGAAGGAATTTCCAAAAGGTGTTCTTGAGATATCGTGTTTATAAGAACGGGACGTACAGACGGAAAACCTGAAAACATCCTCTGGGCCCTGCAGGCTGTCGTGGACTATATAACAACAATAAATTAAAAAAACTACAACAACCAAATATATACAACTTGAATTTAGTCAAATGTAAACATTAGTTCTGTAATTTAAATGTTTTTCAGTTTTATCAGCAGACATGAACGCAGATACATATTTCTTTGTGAAAGAGTTTGATACCATGAATATATAAAAAGACAGTAGAGACGAGGACGAGCCGTGAAGACAAAACAAGACGTTCACCTTCTCACTGTTCTTGTACTTGTCCCAGCTCTTCAGCATCTTCAGCCACTTGCTGGTTCTCTCCACCTCCGTGTGTTTTTGCTGTGGAGAAGAGAAAGTGACACGTTAACGATGAGCTTCCTCTCCGTCGGTCGCTGTGCGGCTGGATTCACATCCGGAGGGAATCACTGTCAGTTTAACAGGAAAGTGACTTCAGAGCCTTCAGAGTCGTTTGAAGCTGCTCTAATTCAAACTTTCAGTCTCTTCACCCGCTCGTGTTTCGCAGCTCGTCAGTATCACATGGATTCATGATTGAGATGATGATTCAAATTGCAAATAAAGATAAGAAGTGATTGTAAGTAAAGAGCACACGTCTTTGCCGTGGTGATCAGTCTCAGCTGTCAATCATGACGTCTCACGTTGTTTCATATCTTCAAATAAGTAATTCAAACAAAACTTATCAGAGAAATGGAAACTTTGACAGAATCATCTACCAAAAATGACAGAAACCATCTTTAGAAACTTTGATTGAACATAGTTTGGCCCGAGCCCCATCTGCTAACATGGAGGAGGCAAGCGGGGGCAATCGAGACGCTTTGGCTTCACTTTTGGGAAGATGTCATGTCGTCCATCTTTATTTACAGTAGATAAATTATACACTTAAAAAAAAACAGGTTCAATATTCTGATATAATTGTAATGAACTCACCTTCTCCTCCACCGAGTCGTAGGATGGAAGTTCGTTCTGACTGAGGAGAGAAGGAGAAAGTGAAGGAATGAAAAAGAGGAAGAGAGACTGAGCGATAAATAAATAACCTCAAGTTTATTCTTGAGTTTAGTCGAACCTGAGTAAACTAGTCTCTCAGATGGAAAACGACGTGTTTCAGATCAGTGTGACAGTTTGTGTTTAACTCTCCGTTAATTTCATGTTCAAAGTCAGATTCCTTCAGAAAACAGTGATGAAAGGAGCGAGAGCGGAATCAGGGTCGCTGTTATCAGGAGGAGGGAACATCAAACATGTCAACGCTCACACAAACAGGAAATAACAGATTAGATGTTCTTCAATCTTGCTTCTGTTTATCTGCGTTTATCTAAAGTCTCTGCAGTTTTTCACCCAGAGACAAACTCACTGAATATTCTGGTTTCATCTCCTGCACTGAAAACTACTTATATTTAAAACAACTACACGGAATACTTCTACAATGAATACTACTACAATGAATACTACCTGCTCTTCAGAAAAACAAAGCAGATTTTTTTTTACATCAACTGAAAAGTACGAGCAGATAACAGGTCCTCTTGGTTCTGCTCGTGCGCAGCCTCCTCCTCGGGTCCATACTTCTGTCCAGTCAGTGACCTTCACCCGAGGACACTTGTGTCCCTGTCTCAAACAATCACACAACCCTGAGGTTTCTGTCCTCCCTCCACCATCCCCCCTCATCTCTCCCTCCATCTTCCACCGCCTATGGTCTGGCCCGCCCCGCTCCATCCTGACACTGGTGCCTGTGATTGTGGCTAACCGTCTGTTTCCTGCCTGCGTGTGCCAGACTATATATAACGCTCCAACATCGGGTTGTTTAAGAGACTCGCAGCCTCTCGTCGGACTCGGCCAGAACCACAAACACACTCTTCTCTGAGCGACACTCGGCCTCACAGCCTGTCACTGTCTCCTTGTTGCTCACACTGCTTCATACCGAGCTTCTGCAGGTTATTCATTTACTTAATAGAAATAATAACAGACTGAGATGTTCTTACTGGACGAAGCCAAAGCGGTCGATGACTTTGTACAGGTGGAAGTTGGTGTCCTCCCAGGGCTCCACAGTGGCCTCCTTTCCCTGGAGACGAGAAGAGAGAAGGAGGAACCATTGACAACATGTACAGTTTTATAAATGTATCATGAAAAGCTTTGCTGGCTTTTACAGACTTGGAACTTATTTGTGCTCGATATCGTTTTTGGAGTTCAGCGCACGTGTCTGAAAGCAGCTCCAGAAAGGGGGTTGGAAGTTGTTCCACCATCGAGGGAACCACAAACAAGAGCAGTCTGACCTCAGGAGCATCAATTGATCAGAAAAATAGCCGCGACACTCGTCTGCAGTGATCATGTGGGTGATGCGCTGAAATAAACTGAAGAGTGGCCTCTGACTGAGCTCCTCATTACACGCCACCCACGTTCTTCAGGGGCAGAGGATCATGTTTTGACTGGCTGCTCGATTACGAGGGGGAGCCACGACTCTGGCGCCCTTGGGAAAGTGTGTGTGTGTGTGTGTGTGCGTGAGCGCAGCGATTAACAGGTGTGAAATGAACATTCAGAAGTCCACCTGCGTCACCGCCTGACTCCAGGCCTCCTGAAAGACGGATGAAATAGAAGAACCCACAGGTGAATGTGTGAGGAAAGGATCATGCAGAGGAGAGGATGGAGAGAATATCAAAGAGAGAAAGAGCAATAAAAAAAGTAAATTAAAGCTAAACCTATTTTTGAAAGCCGATACCAATATTAGGGCGAAACAACTTTACAACTCTGGCTGTTAAATCTCGGAGGATTCCTCACGGTTTACTTTTGCCCAATGTGGGAAACGAATATAGAAAAGGGCAGATCCTGCTTTGTGTAAAGAAATATCAACAATGGCGGAACTTACTTTACTTAAAATGATCACAGATGTGATATTATGCTTTGACAGGAAGTTTTAAACTGCATCAAGGATCCTGTTGCAAACATCTGGATGTGAGGACACCTTCGCCCGAGAGGACTTTGAAAAAAAAACAAAGAAACTCCAGTGACTCCAGACGTTTCTGCCTCAGAGAAGCCCGACAGAGAAGGTCGGTCTGATGACCAGATGTTGAGGTGAAAATATTCCAGAATTCATCTCCTCCTCCCTCGTCCCTCCCTCACCCACTGCTCCGCTCAGCAGAAACACAGCAGTCAGATAAATAACTCAAACGCATCCAAAGAATCCAAAGACCTCAGTGTTTTATCCCACCTCAGCCCATCTGTGTGTGTGTGTGTGTGTGTGTGTGAGAGAGTCGAGGGCACGGCATCATCATGGCCGACACATTTATCATTTCTCTCTCTGCTTAAAATCAATTTCAGGAGAAAATTGAAGCAGGACTCTCGACTGCTCGGCGCTCGCTCCGTCACGCCTCCTGTGATTGTGTGTCACCACAGGTCTGTGATGGACTGCACGGCTCAGTCATGTGTGCGTCCTCTCAGCGCGACTGTTCAGCATTTCTACACTTTAATAATATAACCGCTGCCCATTCATATCAATAAATCAGAGGGTGTCTTGTGCTCGTGACCTTCAGTAATTTTCCAGCTCAGGATGTAAAACTGTTCTTTCCAGAGTTAAGCAAAAATAAAGTTGTGGAGCAAAATTGATTATTTTATTTCCTTCCCTTTAATCATATAGTGACCTAGAAATATCACGTAGGGAACAACTCCTGATATTGAAAGTTTTAAAAACACATTAAGCTGAAGAATGTTCTTAAATTCCAGCTCTTACACTATTCGAGTAAATTGTCCACGTTGGAAAAAGCTCTGGATTTATGAGCTTACACCGTTTGTACCCGACTTCTCTTCCAGACCAGTCAGACTATTGTCAAAGAGCAGGAAGTCGAATTTCACGATGTTTACAGACGAATTTGACGAAGGACAAAGCAGAAATCGGGCTGATTCAGTATCGGCCAAATGTTCCTTCATTCAATATTCAACTTCAAAACATTGAGGTTAAATATATCCAACTTAATGTGGATGATTTTCTCCTGAGACCATGAATGTCTGTGTCCAACAATTCATCCAACACTTTTATAATAATCAATGTCAGAATGATTCAACCTCTGGGGACCATGAAGATCTGATTTCTTTTTTTGGCTACTGGCATATTTGAGCTTGGAGCGAAGTGGTGAACTGAACCGCTGAATTTTAAATTGTGCTATCGTTGATGAGCTGCCAGAAAAGCGAGAGGATATTAAACAGTGGCTGCTGATTTACAATCGGTGGCTTCGATCCAAAACTACCAGCTTCAGTGGAGGCCGTGAAGCCGACAGCGCTCAGGCCTGCGCGGTGAAGTCGTGTGGAAAGAAAACAAAACTTTCTGTTCTTCCTGCGAAGACGAGAAAACCCAGTTTTAATGTTGGCTAATGAACGCTGGGAACGACGAGCGACGAGCGCGTGTGGGGTTGGCGTGATATCTGACTCCATTAAACTCCCTCCATCCCCGACAGCAACAATGACACTGATTTAGCTCTGATTGTGACTCATTCCGCCTCGCCACACACACACACACACACACACACACACACACACA